GGGGGGGGGGGGGGGGGGGGGGGGGGGGGGGGGGTGCTTGTAGGATCAAGGTGCTGCCACCTGAGGACTGCAGCATTAACACAGGGGCTGACTCTTAGCACTGTGTGGCTGGCCCCTGCTGCTCCCTGAGGCAGCCCAGTGCTGAGAGGAGAGGTGAGTAACAGCAGCCACTGCGGAGCTTCTCTCCTGTGCCTGTCGTCCTCAGACACCACGACCACGGCAACTCTTAGAAAGAAAACATTTCATTGGGGCTGGCTCCCAGTTCAGGGGTTTCCATTTCCATCGTGGTGGGAAACACGGCGGCACACAGGCAGATATGGCGCTGCAGAAGGAGCAGAGTTCCGTATCTTGATCCGCAGGCAGCAGGGAGAGACGGTGTGTCACACTGGGCATAGCTTGAGCACAGGAGACCTCAAAGCCCGCCCGCACAGTGACACACTGCCTCCAACAAGGCCAGACCTCTGAATAGTATCACTTCCTATGGCCAAGCATTCAAGTCTAGTCTATGGGTCATTCCTAGTCAACCATCCCAAACTCAGTTTTGCCTTACTGTATGGAAATAAAAGTCACTCTAGCCTTCCCGTTTTTGTAATTTTTTTTTCTATTCTTGCAATCTGCATTAAAAAAAATAAAGTCACACTATATATTTTTAAAAGGTCCTAAAACTCTGTTAGTAGAGGAATAAAGAAAACACATATGCTTAATGGTTTTACATGGAAATTCGATGAAATAAATGTAATCTAGACTCCAACCTGAACCTCTTGTGCCTTAACTGGGCATATGAAAAGCAAAGGCTAAGTGCAAGGTTTTAGAGAGCTTAATAAAACACTGGAATGTTCTCTTTCAGAATATGTCTCTACAGTCCTTATTTTTAATGTTTCAGACATAATGATGGATATAATAAATTATGTGTCAATGAAAAAAATGTGGTTTTTTTTTTTGGGGGGGGGGAAAACAGTATAGAAAGATACTGACAGATGTCATAACAATGACCATGAAAACGTGTATCTCCTGGGACACAGGTAACCAGGAGATATAGTTATGGTGCCAAATCTCAGAAAGACCGGACGGGGGGGGGGGGGGAGGAGGAGACAGACCTGCTGGTTCCATCAGTCCCACCAGTTCGTTCACAAGATCTTTGAAGCAATCACTGGTTGGGTGCCCAAGAAAGCCCTGGGCATCACCTTCATCAAGACATCAGTGAGGGCCGGGCCCAGTAGTGCCCGCCTGTAATCAGCACTCTGGGAGGCAGAGGCAGGAGGATCTCTGGGAGTTCGAGCCCAGCCTGGTCTACAAAGCAAGTCTAGGACAGCCAAGGCTACCCTAAGAAGCCCTGATTCAAAAACAAATCAAAACAATAACAAGAGACATCAATGATGGTCTCAAGGGGCTGAGGCTTGATTCAGACACCAACCCGGAACAGATGGGAGCTGGCGTGAAGTACCTGTGGAGCTCTGCAGCAAAGGGACTCGGAAGAGCTGCCACAGACGCCCAGTTTCCAAGTCACTGGGGTAGATCACACACACAGGTTTGAAACCCAGGACCCACATGGCAGCTCACAACTGTCTATGACCCCAGTTCCAGGGGATCCAACACTTTCCTCTTGCCTCCACAGTACTGCACACAAGTGGTACACGGACATTGACGCAGGCAAAACACTCCCATACATTAGTTAAGAAACGAGTAACAGAAAGCGAACTCATGAGGCTAGACTCTAAGGGTGCTTACTGTTCTTGGGATTCAGGTTCAGTTTGGTTCACAACCACCTGCAATTCCAGTTTTGTGTGTTTAGTTTGTCTTCTCCCTTCTGTATACGAAATAACTGTAAAATAATTTTTTTTTTTTAATCTTTTTGGGACTTTAGAATACCAAGCCAAGACTTTTGGAGCACTGAAAACCCATTTGCAGAGGCATGCGAAGGCACAGCGGACCAGTTGTTATGGCAACGTTCTTAGTCACGTTTCACTTCTCTTCTGATGTTTCCGTTTATTTTTTTCCCAAATTTTTGTCAAGTGACAGCTTCTTGTTAATATGAAGTGAGGACTCTAAGTGAACACAGTGTCCATGAAGCAGGACAAAGAATTAAGATTTAGTGTTTTATATTCTTATTTGTACTCAGTGGCCTCTCAGGACTTAGTACTTCGGATCATTCCATTCCATTGGGATTGCCCTCGAGTTAAAGGACCAGAAACACTCAGCCTTGTGGTCAGCCTTTAAAGGTTTTCCCTTTGAGTACAACTCAGTGCTGAGTACTGGGGTTGTGTAACCCTCTTCCACCGTGTAATCTTAGCACACTTCATCAGTTTGTCTTCAGCTGCGCCCTGCTACCAGCCCTGTTTCGATGGTTTTAGGCCTGGATCTTCCAGATACAAGGATGTGATATACCGGCTTCTATGAGAGGCTTCTTCCACGCAGAACGTTTTCAAGGCTCAGTAACTACAGCATTCACTGGGATGTCATTCTTTAAGCTTGAATAACTCCATTTTATGGATATACCACATACTTTATTATTGACCAACATTTGGGTTTTTTTTCACCTTTTGTCCATTATGAATAGTTGTGCCATCAATGTTAATGGATAATGTGAACATGTTTTTGATGCTACTGGGTATATCCTTGGAAGAACTGCTGGGACACATGATAACTCTGTTTAAACTTTCTGAAAAACTGTCAGACTGTTTCCCCAACATGCCCCTGCAAACACAGTAAGGGCTCCAATCACTCCACACCCTGGTCAACCCTTGTTAATAATATCCTTAAGCCAGTGGGTTTTGGTGGAGTTTTTGTGTACCCAAAGTGAATGGAGAAACCTGTGCACCCCCAAGAGACAGCTCAGACACTCTGAGCAAGATCACCCCCTAGTCAGCCACGGCTGCAGAGGACAACACAGAACCAGTGGTGCCTATTTCTTCTGCCTGTTTTATCTCCTCCAGGAGGCAATGTGCCTCAAACTGTGGCCCTCAGAGGAGAAGCAGTAGGAGGAACAGCAGCAGCAGCACAGGGAACCAGCTGTAAATTCCTGGACTTCACTCTAGACCTCTGAGGCTGGAGGCTCTGAGGTGAGCCCCATCTGTAACTGCAGGTGGCTCTGTTGCTTGCTCAGGTTCAGGGGAGACAGGAAGCACCCGTGAGTGACCATTAATACTCACCAAATCTCTCATATCTCTCAAATAGGGATGCCAGCACCACAGAGACCTTTTTTTTTTTCCTTTTTAATTGGGATGGGGGAGCGAGGATCATGATAGCCCAGGATAGCCCAGAATTCCTGGTTCCTCCTGTCTGTCTCTGGAATTACAGGTGGGCACCATCATTTCTAGCTCCACAGTTTTATTTTGAAAGTGTTCAGTCATCCAAGCCCAGGGGAGCCTTAGCACTTCTAGTGAAGAGGGACACTGGATACAAAACATTCACACAGACCCCAGGTCAGCAGGAATTTCAAAGCACCATCCAAGGCAGCGAAGAAAGGTCGCTCAACTCGCTCTTCCGAAGAACATTCCTGCCATTCACAATCTCCAGAGCATGCTGCCATAGTGCACCTGGTTCAAAGGGAGGGGACAGCATGGAAGCTTCATGGGAAATCATCTCCAACACTGACCAGGACCTCACTGAACCAAAAAAAAAAAAAAAAATAATAATAATAATAATAATAAAATTAAAAAAGGGGTGGGGTGGGCGGGAACACTTTGGACACCCAGAATGGTCTTTGAGCATGAGTGTGTCAAATGTGCATGCTTTGGGTCAGATTTACGGCTTTGCACGTAACCAGGCAAGTTCCCTATCAGGGATCTTCCGACAGGACTTTCTGAATTAGGAGATGCTCCCTGAAGAACTGGTGTTTTGTTTGTTTGTTTTTGTTTTCCACGAATGGCCATCTAAAGATTTCCATCTCCCACCAGTCTGTAATACCTGTTACCTGGGTAGGCACCATGGCTGCAAGATTACTGTTTCATCATTCCCTTTAAACACTGTATATATGCACCAATTCTCTGCATCTTCTCTAGGCAGCACAGTGGAGCAAGGTTTTCTCGCTCCACAACTTCTATCCAGGTTGCCGGGAGAGCAGAACACTCAAAATGTGCAGGCGAATGTAGAGATGGGCCTTCATGGCCGAACAGCTAAAGTCAACAAAACATGAAGCTCATCAAGAGTAGACTGTCTGGAATGCCATTTCTCCATAAAGCCCATCACTCCATGGCTTATTTTTTGGTTTTTTGAGACAGGATTTCTCTGTATTGCTCTGGCTGTCCTGGAACTCTGTATCGCTCTGTAGACCAGGCTGGCCTCGAACTCCCAGAGATTCTCCTGCTCTGCCTCCCAAGTGCTGGGATTAAAGACATGCACAACCACAGCTGGCCTCCATGGCTTATTTTTACAGCATTTCTTTTGTCTGAGACATCACGGTGTCTCTGAGTGAATGTAAAACCTTTTGGTAAGTGTCCAGGACATCCTGAGCTGTGGGTCTTTCTGCAGGGATCTGGCTCTTACATGCCTTGTGTATATCGAACAAATGGAATCGGACCATATCGCTCCCTTCCACGTGCCCCAAAAGGAAACTAGAGACATCCGGGATCTTCCAGATGTCAATCTTCTCATCGTAGGAGGGCATGAGATCATCCTGGAAGGGCATGCCTTCTCCATAGGGCCACAGCTGCTCTGGAGCCACAAAATCCCCGTGGAGCTCCCTGTGGCCACACTTCACGAGTACCCCAGAGTCACGGTCCACCGGGGGCAGCGCGTCCAGGTCGTTTGCCACGATGCTGAAGTCGCTTGTCAGCAGGTACTGGGACAAGGTTTTGGGTAGGTCGTTAGAGTCGCACATGACCCTCCTGCCCAGGGGGCTGTGGTGCAGGTAGTTAAGAATGCTGACGTACTCCACGGCCAGCTGCAGCCTCTGCTGCCAGGTGTTCACGTCTCTGTACTTTGAAAGGTTTAGCGTTTCTTCCAGGTTGCTCAAGGAACCAAAGGGGTGGTATTCGGTAAGGATGGTGCCGTCTTCCTCGCAGTAGCCAACCAGCGTGACCACGTGCTCGCTCTGCAGAGACTTCAGCATCTGTAGTCCGTGGAGGAAGTCTTCCTTCATCTCCAGCCTGGTCAGCCGAGAGAGGGCAACTTTGTGTTCCTTCCACTCAGACAGAAAGACCTGAAACAGGACAAAATAGGACCGCAGAGAACATCATGTCTGGACTTTCGCCAAGGCAAGCTGAGATCAGACACCTCCTAGGAGGCAGGCGTGGTACAGAGGACACAGAGATTAACCAGAAACAGACCAGACCCTGCCACCCAAGGCTGCAAAGACAAATGCACAACACTCAGCTGGCTGAGCAGCTGACTGGGATGGGGAAGAAAGGGAGATCACAGACTCTTCCGGGGGCCACACAGAACCTAAGAGCTGTCACCTACCACAGGGTAACAGAGCACCGCCTGCTCTTGGCTGATAGAGCGGGATGGGGGTTCGAGATGACCCTCAGGTGTATGGCTCAAGGAGCTGGGTGGAAAGCAATGCCACACACTAAGAGGGGGACGGCAGGCCTCACAGAGATCGTCAGTCATTCGACGCCAAGTCAGCGGTGGTGACACATACTTGTAATCCCCAAACCCAAGAAGTGAGGCAGGAGGAGGATGAAGTTGAAGACAGCCTGGACTAGCTAGTGAGAAATCTACTTAAAAGGAAAATGTACAAGAGTTCCACACAGCCCAGGGGTGGTGGGGCACACGTCTTTAATCCCAGCACTTGGAAGACAGAGGCAGATCTCTGTGAGTTCAAGGCCAGCCTGGTCTACAAAGTGAGTCCATGACATCTAAGGCTACACAGAGAAACCCTGTCTTGAAAAAAACAAGTAAGAGAGAGATCCAACAGGACATACCAACATGTTCAAAGAACTCCAATTAGAGACATCAAATAAACAGTTGATGGTATGGATCTAGGACCCGAAGCCAGAGGCAAGGGAGGAACGCTTGGGAGTTTGTTAAATATGTAAAAGTGATAGCGAGATTAGGTCTAGGTACTAGATTACATCACGTCTAGAGAACAGAGAGATGTTTCCTCTGCCTCAGCATGTCTCCGTTCTGCCCACAGATGTCCATTGAGGGACAGGACTGCCCTGTGTGGTGCAAAGCGCCCGGTGGCCTCTGCTGCCTCCACCCACCAAATGCCAGTAACAGCTCCTCTCTCCAGCAGTGACAGCCACAAACATCTGCACACTGCTGTCTCCCTCCACACTACGGCTGCTTGCGAAGCCGTCGTCTATGGGAGGGATGAGGGATGAGGAGTCAGTAAAGGAATGTAAACGGGAGTGAGGGCCGGAGGAGATGAAGAAAACCAGAAAACCAGACTCCAAGGGCAAGAAGCAACTGAATCCAAGGTAGCTGAAAGGACCAAAGAAGAAGAAGATAGCGTTCAGCGTGCAGGTAGCTGCTGACATGAATAAGAGCCATTTCCTGCCATGTCGATGTGACGCTGGGAAGGGACGACAGTGACAGAAACAAAGAGTGGCAGCTGCAGAGGACTGGGCAATCAAGAGCATGGAGCTTCTCTCTGTAAGGTGCACCTGTCTGCACACAAGTCAGGATGACACATGTGCAGGGAGAATTACAGACCTCACAGGACGAGGACGCCTTCTGCCTTAACACACATAGCTGAGACAAAGGGTGAGCGTCTGAAGAAACGTTTGTCTCAGAGCAGGAATGGACTACTGAGGGCTGCTGGGAAGCTGAAAGCTCAGACCTCTCCTTAACTCTACAAGGCCTATCAAGGCCTACCATGCTTGTATTTCCTTCTGTAACTACATGAATAAAAACTGTATATCATACGACTGGTTGGCACACTTACTACCTGAGGGCTTCCCTCTTTGTTCTAACTGGTGACCCCACCTATGCCTGATGACTATACAATCAACTGTGCTTCTAAAAATACGTATTTTTACACAAGATCTCATTCAGCCCAGGCTGGCCTTGAACTCCCTACACAGCTGAAAACGGCCTCCAAGCAAGCACTTTCTAAGTGAGCTACACCCTGAGCCCCTCTCATAAAAGTACTGTTTCCAGTCTCATACTACAGCATTCTCTTCACACCCGTCTCCCTTCCCCCAGATGGTTTAACTCTACCACAGTTCAGGATCTGAGAGACTGCTGGGCTCCAGGGCACACACACAGGCCCTTCATGGCTGTTTTCTTTTGTTTATTTTTAAGTCACTGTTTCGCTATGCTGCCCAGGTTGGCCTCAAAGTCCTACCCCAAGCCATCTTCTTGCCCTTGACTCCCAGATAAGAAAAGAACACTTACTCTCTTCACGGCTCCCTCCCCAATGCGCTTCAGCTGCCTCACTTCTGTCCTCAGCTCCTCACAGGACAACCAGCGGGAGCAATTTTTCATCCGCCCCATCCTGAAGTAACCCTGAGGACAGCGCCCAGAGTCCCTGGCGGGTTGCCCAGGGGAGATGAAAAACTGATCCAGGCAGAGGTAAAGGACCACGTTCATAAGGGCCATGGCGAGCAGCAGCCCAACGACCCGGGACACCTCTCTGTGGGTGAGGCCGGTCCTGCTCCCGCGTTGTTGTCCCATGTCAGTCCCTACAACAGAACATGAGACAAGGAGTCACACCACAGTCTGTTTCCATTTCCACGGAGGTGTCCTGATGCCCCGAGTGGGCTGAATGTGGTAACACCCGCTCCTGGGCTCTGCCGGTGTCTGTCTCACTTGAAGGCTTATATGAACCACAATGTGAGCTGCTCTAAGAAACCTTACTCTTCACTACGAGCCAAATGTGACTTCATCTAGACCAGATCTGGTCTTTTCTCCCACAGTAGCTTACACTAAGTTGATAGCCTGAATGTTTAGAAAGACACAAGCAAAATACGCATTTGTGTGACTGGGATAGAATATGGACAAAGAGGCATAGTTACTGTAGCAAACAGACAAGGGCTTCCTGAAGCTAGCTGAGCAGTTGGGGTGCTCCCTGGAAGGCACCCAAGAGCCCCTGAACAAGCTGGTGATATAGCTCAGGGAGCTTCCGGCATATGTAAGACCCTGGGCCTGAACCCCAACACAGCAACCACAAAACATTTAGGTTTTCTCTTTTTGTGGCTCAGGGGATTGAGCCTCAGTGATGCTAGCTGAGTATCCAAGCTCTGAGAGACAGACCAGGAAGGATGGAGAGGTGGCTCTTTAGCAGGAGGACAAGGTGGCTTGAGGATGGGACAGTCTGTGAGGTGTGCAGACTACCCAGGAGGCCTGGGCAACAATCTGGGATAAGAGTTGACAAATTTGTGGGCAAGAATAACGGTGACAAGGTTTTTCTGGAGTGATGACTCGGGAGACATGGGCAGTAGGGACCAAAGAATCCAGAACAGGGCCAGGCCATGAAGGAGGGGCCATGGCAGAGGGGCTTGGGTGGGGATAGGCCTGGGACGGATCCTCAAGCAAAGGATGCTTGTCCTTCAAAGTGTTGGACAGAGATGCTCCAAGCTGACTGTCACACTGGAAGGCATGGGGATCCAGAGTCAATAGCGACGAAAAGGGTACCTTCAGCAGTTTCTTCTTTCTCCCGGCTGGGTCTCCATCCACACGCCTGGGTCCATCAGTGTGGAGCTTGGTCCCACATGACAGCTCACAACCTTGATAGCTCCAGCCCCAGGAGATCAGATGGTGTCTTCTGGCCTCCAGAGAAACTGCATTGACACTGTGCACAGACACACATGCAGGCAAAATACCCATAGACAAAAAATGTCAAAGGCCGGGTGGGTGGTGGCACACACCTTAATCTCAGCACTCAGGAGGCAGAGGCCTGTGGAGCTCTGAGTTCAAGGCCAGCCTGATCTACAGCCCGGGACAGCCAGGGCTATGCAGACAAACCCTGTCTCAGCTGTCTCCCATTCCTCCCCGCCCCAATAAAAACACAATTATATTTCAATTTAAGAGAATAAGAATGCCACTGGGTGCCGTAGCACACACCTGTAATCCCAGCACTTGGGCAGGCAGAGGCAGGTGGATCTCTGTGAGTTTGAGGCCAGGCTGGTCCACAAAGCAAGCTCAGGACAGCCAGGGATACACAGAGAAACCCTGTCTTGAAAAACCAACCAACCAACCACCACCATCACAACAAAACACCCCAAAACAAACAAACAAAACCTCCCAAACTCAACTTCAAGTCTTCTCCCCCAGATCTATTCCTTTCACAGAATTCATGTCAGTAAATACCGAATCTCCTTTCCCGTTTCTACGGCCTTGAAGACACGGGTGAGGTGTCGGCACAGCAAACAGATACTTCTTCTGAGGAAAAGTGAGAACTGAGAGCTCAGTAGCTTTGCTCAGACCACAGAATAAAATGCTGGTGCTCATCCGTGCTGCCACCTGGATGTGCGCAGCCCACCAAGACTCTGCAATCACCTTGGTTTCTCTCAGGGAAGCTACCTGGAGGCCATCTTGCCCCTTCACCTCACAGTCTTGGGCCCCCCCAAACTGGCCCCAGCAGTACTCAGATCCAGGTGGCTTGTTCCTCTTTCCTCTGGGACTCATCCTCATCTCCGGCCTCTCCCTCAGGTCATCTTCAGAGACTTAAGAGAAGCTGTGACAACTGTTTCCACTCAGGCTGCTGCCATTTCTTGTTTACAATGTTATCTTGTTACAATATTATTTTAAAAAAACTTTGTTTATTATTATTATACTGTGTACAACTTGTGGGTATGGGTGAGCGCAGGCCACAGTGTGCATGTAGAGGTCAGAGGTCAACTTTGTGGAGTTGCTTCTCTCCTCTGTCTTTAGGTGGTTCTGGGGGTCAACAGGCCTGCATGACAAGCACTTTAACCACTGAGCCATCTTTCCAGTTCACCTTTCATAATCTCTAAAAGGACCAGGTGTGTCTCAATTTAGACCTTAGGTCACAGGGTCGCAACTGTCTTCATTCTACAAAGTGTCAAATGGCAAATGGTTAGGCTTGGGAGTCAGTGTCAAAATCAAGCATCAAGGAGAAGGGGCAGAAAGGGGGCGGCATGGCACGAGTTCATCCCTGCCTGTCATTCAGCTCTGTCGATAGCGTGGAGAGAGTCTTGGCGGAGTCCAAAAGCAAACCTGTGTGGCCGAATTCTAGTAACATTTATTCATGGACACAAGACTCTGAACGTCATATGGTTTTTACACAATCTCAAAATATTTACTAATACACAACATTTACTAAGATAAGTGGCTGGGATAGAGCTCACTGCTGAAATGCTTGCTTAGCTTGGCGCTATAAAAAATAAATAAAAAAAAAAACAAAACAAAAAACGAAAAACAAAAACAGGCAGTGAGTTGTAGCTGGCCAAACCTGGCGTAAGAGAATAATATTCCTCAAGGTGTTGCAGACCAGGGTCATCTTGGGTCTGGTAGCCGTCTAGATGCTTACAATCCCTAAATCTGTCCCACAGCCTCCCACTGCCCAATGTCTGGGCTGCCCACTGCTCACCCAGATCTCTCCCTCCATCCCCAGTGCTCTGTCACAGGGGCAGAAGCTACTCATCATTCACGTCACAACTCAGGGTGACTCAATTCCTCCCTCGCTGGACCTCACAGGCAGCCAGGCCCTACCTACTGCATTGTCTGATTCTCTCAGGCCCGTTGATGGCTGCCCTCTCCTCACTCGGCCATGGCGTAGGCCACCAGCACCTCTTACCTGGCCTTCCACAGCTAATTCCTGTGTGGTCCTCTGTGTTCCAGTCCATTCTCCACACAGTGGACAGGATCTTCCTTCTTTAATGAAATACCTCAAGAGAAAATTATAAATAAAATTATGACCAACTAATTCAGTTTTTGTTAATCCTCACTTGTCCTGAATATACTTCAATTTTTAAAAAAAAATTATATATATATTAAAAATAGTTTTGCGGGGGAGGGGCACTTGCACTGGGGATCCAACCTGGGGTCTGGCACAGCCTGCAACCCTCCACTGAGCTATGTTATATACCCCCAAGCCTGATCTTTGTGAAAGAAATGAAAGGTTGCACATACCCCTGAAACTCCGCTGGTGCCCTCCTCACCCGCTGCTGTTACTGGCCTCACGACTGTGGACCTGGGGATTTGGGAAGAAAAGCAGTTTCCCAGGTGCTCCCTTCAGACCTACCGATCAGGAACAAAATCTGTTTTTAGCGAACAGGAGTGACTTTAATTCAGCTGTTGCTATTCATTTGCCTCTATGAAAAAAAAGAAATCTTCTTTTCGCCACTTGAAGCTTGTCCTTGTGATTGAACACTTTCCTCAGGTGGACCCTTCTTAACCCTCAGAGTGTACATTGTCTGATGCTCTGAATAAAGCTGGCCATCGAGCCAGACTTCAGACCTCGTCATTTTTAGGCCCCTTGCTCTCCCAGGTTCATGCCACCAGCCTGAGTGGTAAATATACTTTACTCCTTTTTTTTTTTTTTAAGCACAGCACTGCCGCTGCTGTTGTTTTAATTTCTGAAACTGTATTTACTGATTTGAGTTCTGGAGGGGAGCACCTGCCAAGGCATGAGTGCGGAGGTCCAGGAACGGCCTGTAGGAGTCCATTCTGTCCTTCCACTCTGTGGAGCCTGAGGGCTGAACTCAGGTTACCTGGTTTGGCAGCAGACAGTCTCACTGTACAGACAGACCAGCCACCCCACCCTCTTGCCTCAGTCTCCCACGTGCTGGAATTACAGGCATTCACAACCTCCCTGGTGCGAGACAAAATGTGTACGTGTTTCCTTGTGTGCATATGGTTAAGTCACCGTCTGGTGTGGAGGGCGACCCTTCCAAACCAATCTGCCCACCCGTGATGCTCCAGGCTCTGGAACCCCCCACATACACCCGCCATGTTCCACCCTCCCCCCAGACATTCCTCCAGTCTCAAAGAAATCCTTTAGGAGGCGTGTAGGCCCTCTCCCCTCTAGGCTGGGTGCTCCCAAGATGTTCCTCGCCTGTTCTGTCTGCGGTGCCCGGTGCAGAGTGGGCACCTGGTAAGAACATACAACTGGCTAGTCACACTGCACTTCTCTGTCTTCGTGGTCTCTGGCACCCACACCGCTGGCTTCCTTGTGTTTACGCATGCCCACAGAATCTATTCTTTGCTTCTTTGAGGGACCTGCCCTGTAATGCCCCTCATCTATCCCATCCAGTCTCACCACACCAGTGCCACAGTTACCAACTTACCAGGGTCAAATCTCTTTTACCCCAAATTTCCTCTCATCTGACTTTGCCACTGAGTGAATGCAAGCTTCACGGAGCCTAGAGCTCATAGTTTTAGGAAGGAAGGGGTGTTCCCTAAGAAAACACTGGCGGACTGGGCAGACAGCTCAGTGGATAAAGTGTGAGGACCCAGGTTCAAATCCCCAGAACCCAAGAGGAGCCAGATGCCCCTGTAATCCCTCTGCTGCTGGAAACCAGATACCGAGAAGCTGCTGGCCTGACACATGGTGGCACGCCACAGAGATCCTGGCTCAATCAAGGCAGAAGGCCAAGCGCAGCACCCATGTTGTACCCTGACCTCCAAATGTACACCATGACACATGTGTGAAACACACACACAGGCACACACACTTTAGAATACAAAATTGCCAGCCCCTTTCCAGAGTTCTGCAAGAGTTCTGCAGAAGCGCAGAGACGCTTCCTTACAAATCCAAACCCACTACTCACTCTTCAGCCCCACATACACTCTCACACTCCCATGATTTGGATGAGTGTCCCCGAAAGGTGCACTCATTAAAAACTTGGTCTCCAGCTGTTGGCGCTCCAGAGAGCGGTGGCACCTTAAGGAGGCACAGTCGGCTCCAAGGAAGCTTGGGTCAGTAACAGTGTGACCAGGAAGGAGATGCTGGGACCTCAGCCTGTGACTCTTTGCTTTTAGGGTGCTGTGAAGTCAGATCCCTCCTCCACCACTCTCCCCTGCCATGATGTGCATAATGATCAAAGGCTATGAGCAAAGGTCACCCGTTATGGAAAGAATCCCCACAACTGAGCCCAAACAAACCGTCCCCCTTTAAAAGCTGATTAGAGCAGCAAACCCTAACACACTCAAATGCTACCAACATCTGGTACAAAATTCTGCAAGAACCTAGAATCCATATTTTCTTTTCTTTCTTTTTTCTTTTTTTTAAAGATTATTTTATGTGCATGAGTGTTGTCTTGCATGCAACACTAGCATGCTCAGGGAGGTCAGAATAGAGTGCTGGCTCCCCTGGAACTTAAGTTATGGACAGTGGTATGCCATTAGGGAACTGAACCCAGGTCCTCTCTAAAAACAAGTGCTCTTCACCAATGAGCCATCTCTCCGGCCCCTAAAATTCCTGTTTTCAAATTTAAGGTGAACCCTCATTACTTGACAATCCATGAACACATCTGTTTCTTATGGACCATTATTTTATGCCTCTAAATTTGAACCCCCTCAGAAAAAAAAGCAATCATCCTTAAACCCAAGTGTTCACACAGTATCATACAATATGAAACTCAACACAGTTCTGAGAGTAGATACAATCTCATTCCCCAGAGAAGGAAGGGGACTGAAAGGCGAAGGCTCTCCTCATCTACCCCTGTGTGTGGAAGGGCTGCCTCCAACCCACACTCTTCCTCAGGTTCTTGCAAAGCTCAGCGACCAGACACTGGAGGGGGCGGACACCCAGGCTGGCTGTTACAGAAGAGGCTACCCAGCGCTTAAATGAGTGTGTGCAGCCTGCTGAGTAGAAATTTCTGGCACTGTTTAAACACCAGGGCTGTTTGTGCAAAAGGAACAACTGCTGTGTCTTCACTGCTTAGACAAAGAAAAGAAGGAAAACTACATGAACTGCCAATATGCAGAATATCTTACACAATTTGAGAAGGTACTGGTGTCACCAATACAATTCTGACTAAACCTCACTTTCCAGTAAGTACTTAAAAAAATTATGGTTGTTGTTTAGTTTCTACGGGCAAGAGAGCGGGGACGTCAAAATTACCGAACGTCTAAAAATCGCTTTTTAACAAGGAAGGAGGGAGAGGTGTGGGAGAGGAAGCGGGAGCACGCCGGGCCGCTCGGGCCAGTGCTCCCACAGTAGCAGCGCCCGCTGCACCGCGAGCTCCCGGAGGAGGCGGGAGCGGTGAGCACCCCCCCCCCCCCCGCAGCGCCGCTCCACCCCACTCCGGGGCTGCGTGTGTGGTGGTGTGCGTGGGGGAGGCGTGTTGGGGCTCAGGAAGGCCCCGCAGAACCCCGGCCAGCTCCACCACGACCCGGAGCCTACCTGGCGACCCCCAACTCCGCTCGCGGCCCACGACGCCTGCGCCGCGCGGCCGGAAGCAGGCGCTGGGCTGCCCCCTGGTGGCCGTGCCCCGCCTCACACTTGGACGCCCTGGGCAGCCCAGGCGCGCTCACCCAGCCCCTGGTTCCGGCTTCTGCTCTGCGACCCGGTGAAATCCTGGGCACAGCAACCCGGTTGAGCCTCAGAGGGTTGCTTCATGTCTACAGTTCCACACTTTGCAAAGTGGTGGCTGCCAAACGGTGGTCCTCGGAACAGCAGCACGAGCAAATTGTCCGAAATGAAACCTCAGCTCCATGGCAGACCTGGCCTCAGTGGTACCCAAGCCTCTGCATTTGAAAAGGTAAAGGGACTCCGACCTGAGACACAAAGCTGAACTTCACAGATTTCGGGTCCAAACCTCAAGCGATGTGAAGGCTGGAAGGTCTCAACGTGACACACTGCTGTTTGTACTGGATGAGAAGGGTAGGGTGGCGAAATGGAAAATCAGACAGAACGCTACCTAATTTGTTGTTTAAAATATACATATCATCTACTTCCAAACTGATCTACTTTCCAGATTTGAAACCCAGACAGGGATTTAAAAAACCCACCAGTGAGCCCGGCGCTGTGACGCACACCTGTAACCACAGCACTTGGGGAGGTAGAGGCAGGTGGATCTCTGTGATTTTGAGCCCAGCCTGGTCTACAAAGCAAGTTCAGGACAGCCAAGGATACAAAGGGAAACCTTGTCTTGGAAAAAACAAAAACAAAATAAAACAAACAAAGAAACGTCTGTGTTTATTATCTAAACGAGTGTTAACTCCAGCATGCTACAGGACTGGGTTCCGTCTATCACCAGAGGAGTGGGGAAAAAACCCTATACGCCACTTTTGCTTCTCAGACTGAGTAGTGTGTGTGTTTGAGCTCGTGCACGCACAGTAACATTCAAAGGCCAGGGGTGCTAGAGACACTTGAAAGTGTGAATTAAACTGCAAGAGTAGCACAGGCTCTTTACTGAGGAGCCATCTCCCCAGCACCAAGAATATTTCTAGTAGACAATATACCTGAATGTGTAATAGTAAGCATTTCAGAAATAAATTGTATTATATATTAAAGACATTAAAAACACTCCTTAATGATTTCAGAGTTTCAGTTTGAGAAGATGAAAAAGTTCTGATGATGTTAGAAGTGATGGTTACATTACAATGTGGACAGTATTGGATGCCACTGAAATATTCACTTAAAAATGACTGAAATAGGGGCTGGAGAGGAGCTGGCTCAGTAGCTAAGGGCCCTGGTGGCTCTTCCAGTGGACCTGGGTGCCCATCACCCACCTGCCAGCTCACAACCATCTATAACTCTCAGCATTTTGAATGTTTGTGAATTGACTGCTGGGCATCTTGTCATAAAGAGTATCTGGGTCCCCGGCCAGAGAACTGACATGGTTCTCCATGAAAACAAAAAGTACTGGAAATGCTGGGTGTGGTGGCGCTTGCTTTTAATCCCAGTACTCAGAGGCTGATCATCTGATCCCAACCAGCACAGGTCACTTCAGAACTGATGACAAGGGCTCTGCTCATGTCCAGTCTAATGCTGAGTGATGCACACACACAACCCTTGAAACAAATGTTAAAATACAAATTATCAGTAAAGGTCTGGAAAGATGGCTCAGCAGTTACGAGCACATACGGTTCTTGCAGAGGTTCTGAGAGACAAAGATATAATAGCAGAGGGGAGGAGCAGGAGCAGTGACTGTGCAGACAAATGGAAGCACCTGTCTTGTTCCTGTGAGACAAGGTCTTGCTATCCCTTAGCCTCTGGAATGCCGGAATTACAGGCATGTATCACCATGCCTGGCTGTTTTTGTCAAGGCAGAATCTCACTTGGTTGCCCAGGCTGACAATGAACTTGTCGCAGACTTCTGCATGCAGGGATCATAGATATGTGCTGCTATGCCTGGTCCATTATGTGTCTTCTTATACAGTCCCTAGTAACTCTGTTGAGTCAGCAGCCCTAAAAACAGTTTTGAGCCACCAATGGTAGTACCTGAGAATAAATGCTCTTACATAAGTTTCTCTACACTGGTTTGTTTTTGTGTTTTTCTAAACAGTCTTGCTTTGTGGGCTGGCTGGCCTGGAACTAGGTATGTAGACCAGGCTGGCCTTGAACTAACAAAGATATACCTGCCTCTGTCTCCCCGATATTGTTGTTAAAGGCATGCACCACCACTGACAACTAGGCTGTGTTTTGCTGTTTTTACCATGATGCTGCTGAAAAATATAAGGAAGGTATTTTAGGAAAATTTCAAATATAAAACTAGAGATTTGAGAGATCTACAATTTACAAATACTGACATAAAATGTGGAAAAATAAATAAAATGTTTAAAAAAATAACACTTAAATGTATTTTCTCTATTGAAAAAGTTACTTCCCGAGTTCATGCGGAGAAAAGATGATTATTCAGCTCTTTACAGTAACTTTGTTAGCTGCGGTTTGGTGCTCTAACACTAAAAATTCTGTATGGACCGCTGCTGGAGCCAACAAGCTGCTCTAACTCCTTTCTAGCAGGTGGAGTGGCCGCAGAGACCAGAACTATATTTTCCTAGCCTTGGAAGCCTATTTCTACCTATACTGCAAATTCTTCCCACTCCAAGGGTTCAGCTGAGCCTTTGGTCTGTTGCCACATAGCAGGTATGCTTCCGCAGAAGCTGGTGGTCTAGGGATGGCAGCCGGAACTGAGGTTTCTCACTCCACCTACAGCAGTTTCCCGGCTCTGGCGCAGGCAGCAGCAACTTGTTGCTACTGCAATAGCAGGGATCTGGGGTAAACTTCCAGAAGATGAGGCAATGACTGTGAGCTATCTCTATTGAATAAATCCATAGTTTAAATTATCTTGAGTAATTTTGTTACTTACAGTAAAAAATAAATCCATTTCCATTTTAAAGAAATTTTCCTCACTATAATCATATAAACATTTTCCTCACTATAATCATAAATTTTATAGCAGTATTTTCTTCCTCAGTTTCTGCCCATTTTTTCAAGAAGGCCACATTCTGTATTCTGAACTAGCCTGAACTTCTCTATGTTGTCGAGGGTGGCCTCAAACTCACAGCAATCCTCCTGCCTCATCCTCCCAAGCACTAGGCTTCATAATTGTACCTCGTATACAGTTAAAACCAAACACTATGGTATTGATTATAGATAATGTGATTTTATTATAAAACCTTTCTTTTGGCATTAGTTGGTTACAGTGATCTGTGAGTGTGGCACAGCAGCTCTAATCAACAGTTGCAGTCCCTGTTTAATGCACCAAGATTCAAGTTACTGCAAATCAATAACATAGTTCCCTTAGTCACTACAGCACACAGCCTTGCACAGACCTTTCAGGAGTTGGCTCTACAGGAGTGGATTAAATGTTGGTAAGACTACAAAAGCAGTAGTTCCTGTATGGGAAGTGTTTCTTCACCCTCCCCTCCAATGACTTTGCTTTAGAAGAATCGCTTTCTTAGAGCTAGTCTGAACAGTGTCAGCACACAGGAGCATCGTACTTAGTTCTTGTTAGAAAGCAGCACCTGGACAACAGCTTCAGCGCACAGGCAAGGGATGCTCGCTCTACTTTACACTCCTGCATTAGAGGCCCTTAGAAAGGAAAGCATCGTCCTTCTTCAGCACGCTCTCACTGCTATACACTCGCTGCCGTGTCACTTTCTCTGCTGTGTTTACTCTGAAGGGATCTTCCAATATATCTCCAATATTCCTTTCTTATAGTGTCCTTTTCTTTAGCTAGGATCTCACATAACTGAAAATGAAAAATAAAGATGTATTAAAGTAACGTTTAATTCAATCTCAAAGCATGTGGCGATTTGATGTAGGTCATGCGTGAAGTAGATACTGTAGAGCAGCTGCATTACTGACAGTGCTGTCCCAACTAGAAACGCCCCTGAGAAACTATGTGAAAGGTGGCAGCAAGAGCAGCGGTAATGAATGGGTAGAGCCAGGTCTAGGACGTGGTTCCGCATGAACTCACCTCTAACGCTTTATTAAGAATGTCCTCCTTGTTGTCACATTGGTTTTCTAGCATGTCTTCATAGATATCCACAAGAAAGGCAATTAGGTAGGGGGAACTGTGACTTGGTTGTAAATCAAGCAACTGATTTAATAAATTAGGGTATCTGGAAAGACCACGATCCTGCAGAATCCTAAAACAAAACAAAACTCCATTCTGAGAGAGCATACACAAATGGAGAAAGTAAGCCTGAGATACAAGCAAGGCAACATTTATGAACAACTGAGGCTAGGAAAGGAAAAAGGAAGTATTTTGAACTGTGAGGGCCTTATTAATGATGGTTTAAAGTTGGATAAAATTTAAAATACACTGAAGTTGGACTGGGGATGTGGCTCAGTTGGTAGACTGCTTGCCTAGCATGCACAAAGCCCTGGGTTCAATGCCCAGCGCCACATATCCATGTGTGGTGACATAAGCTAGAAATCTCAGCATCTGGAAAGTAGAGGCAGAGAGTAAGAAGTTCAACTTCTTCAGTTTCATAGTCTGAGAACAGCTAGGTATAAATAAGATCCTTCACTCAAACTGCAATGACAGATATTATTAAAGCAGAAAAGACCTTGTCTCAAAGTTACAAAGAAAAGAAGGGCAGGAGAAATGTCTGTATTTCTCTTTGAGGCAGTTCTTCACACCCTCAGCTATTTAGGAGTTACAGGTCCTGGCGCATCTCTAAGTGTGACTGGGCTCCCCACCCTACACCCTCTGGGCTGAGGAACGTGGCTGTGTCAAGGGCAAAGCCTGGGAAACCTGTTTATCTTAAGATTTGTCACTAGAAGCAGGACTGACATGGAGAGTCTGGCAGTACCTCTGAGTGACCTATTTGTTAAGTTTACTGTACCCTGTTGTACTGAGCCCACAGAATAAACAGGGATGTGCATTCCATTCTTTGACACAAACACTAGAGACTTCAACACTTAGAAAGCAAATCACTAGAGGAGCTATAAATACCAGTAAAATGCATTATTGTTTGCAATGTACTGTTGTGAAAACTGTTGCTGTGTTCTTGGAAGTGAAAAGGAGAAAAGAAGAAGGCATGATGCCTGGCAATTACCATACCCTTACTTTGCTTTTACTATTAAATGGACCAACACAGAAAATCCCTTAGCATTCTTTCAGAACCTTTAGAACCTAGCACATTTTATGATGTCATTAGCAGCAGCCCGATGGTTTCTTTATGAAAAATCAGTCTCTTACCCTTTCAAGTAGTTCCATGCACTTTCATTATGTGGCACTAATTTGATCATCTCCAGAGTATACCTATAGGAAAAAATACATATCATTTTGAAAGAGCAGATCAAGAAGTAGATAGAGTCTGGCAACATAGAGATAGAATCTGACATGTCCTCTCCCCTCCCCCCCCTGTCAAGCACCCACTTCTGTCTGCCAGTGGCTCCTGGCACTGCTGGAGCTCCAACCTAAAGAAGAGTCCTTAAACATGCAGTTGTCACCTTGTGTCAACACCCCACTCCACACTAAAAAGGGATGTGGCTGGAGAGATAGCTCAGCAGCTAAGTACACTGGCTGCTCTTCCAGGCTCCTAGCACCCACCCACATGGCAGCTCATGACTGTCTGTAGCTCCAGGCCCAGGGGATCCAGTGACCTCTCCAGCTGCTTCAAGCACTGCATACATATGACCCAAAGGCATAATGCAGACAACACACTTAGACACACAGAATAAAGTCTTTTTGTTTGTGTGTATAGATATATGGAAGGGCTAGAGAGATGGTGGTTAAAAGTGCTTTCTACTCTTCCTGAGAACCTGAGTTTGGGTCCCAGCACCCATGTACAGCAGCTCACAATCATGTTATCTCAGCTTCAGAGGATCTCAACTCACATACACACAAAGTCTTAAAATATTTTACTTTGGATTGGATCTTCAGAACTACCCATAAAATTTTCCTAAAAAAAGAATATTGAGTATTTTCCTTCTGAGGTAAATGCTGGCTAAAAACAAGGAGACTTGTCTTTTACGGCACGGAAACCTGGGGTGGCCAACCTATGCCTAAGAAACTCAGTTACTCACATCATCTTAAGGAGCTATAAAAAATGGCATAAGGCTGGGTATGGTGGCAGATGTCTTTAATCCCAGGAATGGGGAAGCACAGGCAGGTGAGTCGCTGAGTTCCAGGCCAGCCTGGTCTACAATTCGAGTTCCAGGACAGCTGGGCTACACAATGAAGCCCTGTCTCAAAGGGAAGGGTGTTATGAAAGTTATACAGATAAAGAATAAAAATAAAAATGGTCATAAATATATATATAAGACAAGATTAATAATAAATTACAATGCAATGCAACTATTCCAAAATCTCAAGCAAGACTGGTCTCAAGTAATTTAAGTAAAGTATACTTAACCTACAGCAGTAGGTTTCTTGCACAGAATATGTATGTGCATACAATACTTGTAGAGAAATATGGCCATGATATATTAAATAAAACCAGTGTGGTTCTCTTTTGTGAAATGATATGCCTATCATTTCAGCACTCAGTGGTAGAGACAAGAATACTACAAGTTCAAGAAGTCCATGAATTGAGTTCTAAGCCAGTCTGTGAGACATGGAATTTTGTGTCATAAACAAACAAATAAAACCCCTTGAATACATGAAAAAATAGCTATAAAAATGTTGTGCACACGTTTGCAAATGTATTTATAAAGCTTACTTTAGAGAGAGGATTAGAAATCTTTGACAATTTTTCACTTTGTGTGTATGTGTGTAGTATCTCAAGTAGCCCAGACTGGCCTGGGACTTGTTATATAGCGAGGGATGACCCTGAACTTGTGATGTTCCTGCCTACATCAGCTGAGTGCTGAGGGTACAGTGTGCACCACCCACCACACTTGGTTTCAGGCTGTGCTGGGGATCAGATCCACAGCTCTGTACATGCACATGCCCAGCTCAAGAAAAAGAAATCTTGTCTTTTTTTTTGGAGACACAGTTTCTCTGTGTAGCCTTGGCTGTCCTAGATTAACTCTGTAGATCAGGCTGGCCTCAAACTCAGAGATCTGCCTGCCTCTACCTCCTGGTTACTGGGATTAAAGGTGTCTGCCACCACTGGCTAGCTCTATCTATATTCTTAATAGTTAAAATTTTAATTAACATGCTATGAATTCTCAATAAATACATGTATTATGAACATTTTAAGTATTATTTTTACCATCTTTAGGGGATATGCCTTAATTATGAAAAGCTCAGATTTTTGCTTACTTCTCTTTAATAGCAGCGGAAAGCCCTAGAGCCACATAGCACTTTCCAAATGCTTTATATTCAGTATTTTAGTTCTTTTAAAAACTAACCCAAAAAAGACACAGTAAATATGAAATATGGCACCGGAAGCAGTAGAAGAGAGGGAACAGGACTGGAGCCTACCACAGATGTCCTCTAAAGACTCCAACCAGCAGGGGAGCGAAGCAGAAGCAAAGACTCACAGCCAAACTTTGGATAGAGCACAGAGAGTCTTATGAAAGAAGGGGGATATAAAAGGACCCAGAGGGGACAGGAGCCACACAAAGAGACCAAGAAAGCCAAAAAAAAAAAAAAAGCAGAGCCCAGGGGGGACTGCAGAGACTGATGCATCAACCAGAAACCATACATAGAGAACACCTAGACTCCCTGTTCAGATGTAGCCCATAGACAGCTCAGTCTCCATGTTGATTCCCTAATAAGGGAGAAGAGACAGTCTCTGACATGAACTTGGTTGCCTGCTCCTTGATCACTTCTCCCTGGTAGGCAACCTAGCCAGTCCACAGAGGAAGAAGATCCAGGAAGTCCTGATGGAACCTGACAGGCTAGGATCAGACAGTAGGGGAGGAAGACTAGGGAAGAGAGATAGGGGAGGAAGAGGGAGGAAGAGGGAGGGAGGGTGGGACCCAGAGGTGATGAGGGAGGGGTCTACAACTGGGATACAAAGTGAATAAATTGAAAATAATAATAATAATAATAAAATAAAAATAAAATAAAATCCATTCACTACAAGCTGGGTCGATCCAAGGTAGAATAACTGTAAGGGACTCAACCGTTTAGTAAAACAAACTCTAATGAGAAAAAAGCAATGGTGCTCTCTCTCTCTCTCTCAGGCAGCCTGGACTTTAAGTCCACTACTTATATTGGGTCAAGAACAGACTCTTGTGTATGGTGGTGCTCGCTCAGAACCCCAACATTCAAGAAGCTGAAGCAGAAAGCTTTCAAGTTCAAGACCAGCTACAAAGCAAGAACCTGTATTAAAATGCATAGGAGAGTAGGCTCAGAGAGCACTTGCTGCACACGCAGAGGCCAGCACCCACACCGTGGCTCACGGCCTTCCGCAACTCCAGCTCCATGGGATCTGATGCCCACTTCTGACCTCCATGGGCACCAGGCAAGCATGCTATGAAGAGCATACACTGGAGCAAAACTCATACACATACAATAAAATAAATTTAAAAAATATTAAAAGCCCAAAACAAAAGCCAACTATTCATGCTGAAAACATGAAACAGACATTAAAACGAAAGGAATAAATAAGGTTATAACTACAGAGACTATTGTTTGTCGACATAAAACTCATGCCAATTTAAACATTTCTACCTGTTACAGCTTTACAAACAGCAACCCTTCTGTGTGTGTGTGTCTGTGTAGAGAGCGTGTGAGCAGAGTGCGCGCATGTGTGTGTGATATACATGTGGCAGTGTCTAGAGCCGTCTGTGTTTAAAGCCAGGAAAGTCACTCAACACCTACAGCCACTTATGGACAGTGCTGCTCACACTCCTCAGCCACGAACCCTACAGGGGAACAACATGGAACCTGGGAACTACTATCTAAAACACAACAGAACTGTGTGAAGACAGACCCCAAACCAAACTCCCTGGCATTATGAAGTTGGGTTTCTTCACAATCTCTAGAAGCAACAACATGCCAAGAGCTTAACGGAGTGCAACACAGAGATGCACTGTTACATCACATTCACTCTTGATGAGTGTCCCCAAATCTGTCCATGCGAGTCCCCTCAGGCTAGGATCTGGGCAGTCTTGACTGCAGCATCTGAGTGCCTGAGATGTTTAAGGAAGGGACAGTGAAACACGACACTAACTGGACTTCTCTGTCCAGCACAGCGCGGTCGCTGTAGCCAGTGGTGTTAGAGATGACGAAGTGTCTTTGGTTCCAGACGGAGTTATTTCTCACGTCCTCTTTGAGAAGCTCGTCTACGTACTGCAGCTCCTTGTCCCAAAGCCGAAACTCCTAAACAGTGATAGAATCCAGTTAGGAGTGCTCTACTGCTTACAACAAGGGCATAAACAAAAAAAGCTGAGAGGTAGCACTGAAGATAAGGGGCTTATGTCGAAGAGCAGCCTGTGATCCCAGCATTCAGGGAGGGAGGATTTAGAAAGATTAGAAATGCAAGGTCATTCTCAGCTGCATTCGTTCAAAGCCAACCTGGGTTACAGAAGACACTGTCTCTGTCTTTTGTTTTTGGACAGGGTTTCTCTGTGTAGCCTTGGCTGTCCTAGACTCACTTTGTAGACCAGGCTGGCCTTGAACTCACAGCGATATGCCCGCCTCTACCTCCCTGAATGCTGGGATTACAGGTGTGTGCCTGGCTAAGACACTATCTTGGAAGGAAGGAAGGAAGGAAGGAAGGAAGGAAGGAAGGAAGGAAGGAAGGAAGGAAGGAAGGAAGGAAGGAAGGAGGAATGAAGGGAAATTGAGCATAGATGCCACAAAGACACAAAGTAAAGAAGTCATGAAAGAAAATTTAGAAGGAAAAAAAACAAAAACCAGCAACAATCAAATTCATTGGTAAGAAACGAATAACCTTATGAGCATACAAACTACATTAATACATGACATTAAATAAAGAGCAGCTTCACATATGTAAACACAGGCAGGAGTGGCAGCACATATCCGGTATCCCAGCACTCAGGAGGCTGAGGCAGGAGGATTTAGAATTCAGGGCTAACTTGGGCTTGAAACCTTGTCTCAAAACCAAACCAAAACAAAACAAATAAGTAAAAATTTAAAAGCAAATGCATGATAAAAGTTCCTCGAAATACACATACATACACACACACAATTGTGTTTAAATGTGAAGTTTTACTTTATGGCTAGGGCATTGTGAAAAGCTAATGTGTTTCTATTTCTTAGTTAATACTAGGATTAAAATTTTCTAAGCTGGTTCCTGATTTCAAAAGTCTCAATGAAAACAATAAACTAAGAGGCCACTCTGGTGAAAAATTCTGTACCAATGAAGGTGAGCACTGTTCGTGTGGCCATAAACAACCAACACTCCAAAACACTGCCAACCACCTGCAAGCACCACTGCTTGAGAAACACTGGCTTTCTAAATTTATGTTTTCCCTTTTTTAATCTTATGTGTATGAATATTTTGCCTGCAAGCATGTCTGTGTACCTTGTGCATGTAGGTCAGAAGAGGGCATAAGATCCCTTGGGACTGGAGTTACAGATAGTTGTAAGCTGTCATGTAGGAGCCAGGGATCGAACTTGGGTCCTCTGCAAGAGCAGCAAATGCTTTTAACTACTCAGCCATTTCTCCAGTTCCTGTCTTATATGGTTTTAAGGCTGTGTATGTGTCACTTTCAAACTAAAGACGGCTTCGTTCTTTTCTCTCTAGGGCCTTATGTAGCCCAGTCTGGCCCTGAACTCTTGATGCTCCGGCCCCTCTTCCCATGTGCTGAGATAAAAGGTGTGCGCCACAACACCAGAGATGACAGAGCATCTCCTGCCATTTTATTCAGTGTGTGAAACGTACAGATTTCCTTCAGTTTTCAGAATTCACTTATCTCTTAATATAGCCGAAAATAATCTTACCTTCTGAAGATTGGATTGGAAACATGAAGCCATGTACATCAGATGTGAAAATAGGAAAAACTTCAAGACTTTAGTGATAGGAACTTAAAAGCTAACTATAACTGCAGGGTCTCTTGGATTCCTCTGTCATTCAGAACCTCTGATAATGCAGTAAAGACCATGGTGCATAAGGTAGGTTTCCAAAGACGTGGTAATGCTGTATTACCATGGTAATGCTGTATTAAGTTTTTGTTAGTAGACAGGCATGGGTCTCTATCTGTACGTGACACGGGGTCTTACATCTGCCAGCTTCTGCTCCTTGTGTGCTGGGATTAGGATAGAACTACCATGCCCAGATGATTACAGTTTTCAATAAAAAGAAAAATACTAGGGTTTGGGGTATCGCTCAGTACAAAGTACTGGGTTTAATACCCAACACCACAAACACTGAATGCTGTGGTACACACCTGGAATCTCATCAGGAAGGTCAGAAAGTCAAGATTACCTTGAGCTACACAGCACATTCAAGGCAAATTTGGTCAACATGAAATAGTTTACCCAAAAGTGACTTTTTAAAATAAAAAAGTACAAATACTGAACAGCTTTAGAAAATCTATCCCCTTTAATTAAAAATGAAGAAGTTTAAATTTTTAAATAAAACTTTTTAAACTGTGATGGTGTGGGGGCACACAACTACAATCTCAGCACTCAGGAGGTATAGGCAGGTAGGTCTCTTGAGTAAAAAGCCAGTCTGGTCCAAATAGTGAGTTCTAGGCCAACCAAGGCTACATAGTTAGACCCTGTCTCAGAAAAACAAACAAACAAACAAACACACACACACACACACACACACAAAAAAAAAAACCACCACTACCACCAAAAAACAAAAACAAACCCAAAACAATGATACAATGTAACTTTAACCTAATTTTTCTTAAAAATTTACTATTACTTTTATTTACTATGAAACTACTCACCAACATATCCAAAGAGATTATAAAAGGTAACCACATGAAGAATGTCAGGTTTCAAGCATCTTAACAGGCTTTTAGTTATGTGTGGTTTGTTCAGATGCATGCACACTCAGGCTTTAAGAAAGGCAATACCTGAATGACCCATTGCCGATGCTGCCAGGCATGATAGTTCTTTGCATCCTGACTAAGAATTTCAGCAATGAACTCAAGCTCCTGTGAAGGATCTTTCAGCCACTCCACTAACACTCTCCTGTGGTGCCTGTCCAAAAAAAGAGAGGGAAAGCTCAGGTAAACCCAGAACTGACATCAGCTACAGGCGCTGCGCCAGGTGATGTGAAAGGGCATTCAAGAGGTACAAAGTCACCCCCAACTCTCAAAACTGCCAGAAAGAGGTTAACAGTGACAGGGAATTCCAGCAGAGCTGAGAGGCCATGGCAGATGTGAAAGCAGCCATCTAGAGCACATGATGAGCTCGCCCAGGCAGACCTGCAAGTGCTTTATCTCTTCACAGCCTAGGCTTCTGCTCAGCAATCCTTCAACACTGTGTACAAATAAAGAAGTGATGTGATACTAGCCCAACCAGTCTAACGAGTCTCTAGTCCAAGCAGTTACCGCTGTGGAAAATGTCACCTACAAGCAACTTTCCCTTTCACCTGGCTATAAGCAGAGCTCATTTACTTCTGCCCTAGAGAACATATAACTACGACAGACTTTAACTTTGTCACAAGGCAAATTTCCATGTTAGGAAAATATTTGTTTTATACTGGGTCCATTTTCATAATTTTCCTTACTCCAAAAAGTTACACACACCGAAAATTCAAAAATGCACTGTAGCTGGCTCAACAAAAGAGCATTTGCCAAGTTTGTGTGAGACCCTGGGTTCCATCTCCATATGACCAGGAAAAAAAAAAAAACAAAAAACAAAATCACTTGGGTTAACACATACCTGTGAATAGTCCAGAAAGACCTCTGACTTACACACTATGAATTGCATGGTACGCGAAACATACTGATCTTTAAAAAGAAAATCCATTATAGTATTTATTATACTAATGAGCAGGAATGACACAAAAAGAATATAATGCTCAATTAAAAATTTTAAAGACCTATCTCATATAATATTTAGAAAGCAAGATACTATTAATAAGAAAACTATTTTATACTGACTAGAAAGCCATTTTCAGATTTTTCCCTGTCTAGTAGTGCTGCTTCCAAAACCAGAACTTAGACTCAATCCTATAAGTAAGGTAAGAATGTGAATGGAAAGTACTCAGACGATAAAGAAATCTCAGCTTCCAGTGCCAACTGCTATCAGCAGAGTGACATATTTCCTTCTTGCTTTCCTCTTACCAAACTTGATAGTTTTTGGGCTGTTCCTCAATTATTGCAGTGATGTAGTCCATTTCCTGTTGTAGATCCTTCTGAAGCGACCTTAAGAGAACCCTCCGAAAATGCCTATAGTAAAACACCAAACATCCAAAGTGGCGTTACTCCACACAAGTTGCCTAGCAAGAATGTTTAATAAAGCCACAAGACAATAGTACAATATACAGACAACAATCTGGTACTTATTTTATACAGCCAGTAATTTAATAATCTAGGAGCTTGTAACTGTCCAAGTTCACACATCTAGAACTGGAAAAAAAAAAAAAA